GTTCTCTCTTTTGTTTGTCCTAAGGGACAATGGGAGGCTTCGGGGAGGCTGACCTTTGCAGACGGACACGCAAAGGGTGCCGCACGACTTTAGGCAAAAACCAGCTAAGTCCGTGACAGAGCGGTATATGTCGATATACCGCTAGGTATATATATATATATATACATATATATATATATATATATATAAGTAAAAAAAAACTTTTTCTGCGACGTCGCCTCTCTTCTCCCCACGCAGGGCGACGTCACCTTTATATATACATATATATATATTCATGTATATACATACATATATATATATATATACACACATATATATATATATATACACACATATATATATATATATATATATATATATATACATATACATATATATATATATATATAAACCATTTTCGCCGAGGCGACGTCTCCTCTTCTTCTCCCTTTTCTTTCTTCCCTCTTCTTTCTTCTCCCTCAGTCACCACCCGATTTAATACGATAACGGGACGGAAACAGCCCCAATCAACGATACCGCCCGATAGCGGACGGTCCGTGTACCGGTTTGCTAGGCAGGTGGTATTATTCGAAATTAAAAACCTTGCTTAAAAGCACAAATAGAAATTAACAATATTCAGCATCCAACTGATAAAGCCTGTTCTATTAACTATTGAATGATTATATTATTATTATATACCAATGATTAAATTATATGCAGCTAGTGTAAGAGTCATGGTATACTTTCCTGCTGCAGTTTTTCTTTTTCAGTGGCTACTCATGGTCCAGAATATGGACAAGGAACATGTACATCAAAATACACTCATCATATTATGACTCCTATCTACAGCTCATGAGCAACAGACAGCAGTGCCAAAAGCTAACTAATGTTTGAGATTTTCAATTGCCGCTTAAGGGAAAATCATTTTTGTCCAGTCCAACATTTATTATAAGCTAATGATTATTTTCAAGTCTGTTAATTGGCAATCCCAATTTGTGCAGTAACCGTTGTCAGAGCAACAATGCTATCTTAATGCATGGCAATACCTTCTTCTCATGTCCAGCACTGGCCAAGAATTTTCCATCAGAAGAAAAGTGGCAGCAGACAACCTTGCTGTTACTAGTACGAATACAGTTAACCTCCTTAAATGTAAAACCTGGATAAAGAACTTTGGAATATTCAGGATCATCCTATAAAAATTATCAAGCAAACATCAGTGCCATATTTACCTTTTAAAGACCCTGGATTTTGGTCAGTAGGACTTCCTTTTAGTGCAGCAAATATGTCTCTTGGATCTCCATCATCTTGTGATAAGAACGATTCAACATTATCTTCCAAAGAAGCAACATCCCCAAAATGTTCCAGATCATCCTAACAAAATTCTTTGTTAAACTGGAACGAATTCCTGAAATTCCTCCAAGAAACTTTAAAGATTGAAAAGAAAACAGAAAGTAAACAAAATTGATACCATCTGATTTGAAGATGAAGCAAGTCCTGGCCCATCTGCACCGTACATCATTAAACTTTTTGGCATACTGCTAATATGGTTCAAATTACCAGCAATCCCCACCCCATCACCAGCTGTATGAGTAAAAGGGATCGATGAAGGAGAGTTGGGAGAAGGACCCATAGTATTTCCAGTGCCAGTACTGTTGGCAGCTCCAGATGAAGAAGGTTGCTTTCTTTTCCTATTGTTCTGGATATTGCATTTAAGAACTGTCAGAAGTGTACCCCCCTTATTTTATTCTAAAAGAAGGAACGAAGACAAGCAGATGCATGGAGGTCAGTCGATGAGTGACATTGAAGAAGGCACAAAATGATGGATTTGCAGCAAGAGGGCCCATGAGAAGAGATGAACTATATGTAGGAATAGGGGAAAGTAAATGAGAAGAAGTGTGAAAGAGAGGCAGAAGACTCATCAGTATTACCTGCTCTAACTGTTGTTGCTGCTGTAGCTGTTCCTGTGGCTGCTGAGTCGAGGACTGCTGCATCTGTGCAACTTTCATCTAAATTCATAAATAACCAGAGAAGCATGGGAGCAAAAATCTCAGTCAGAATTATTCACATAAGCTGTGAGAAACCAACCGTTGATACCTAAAAGTTCTGAAGAAATCATGAATAGTTGAATACTAGTAATAAATATAATGCACAACAAGAAGCAAATCAGAACATATGTCCTTTATGTCATAAAAACTGAAGCAAAATCTAATGCCCCATGCACTTATCACTTAGGCTCTCAAATACAACAATCATCCATAGTGGTGCAATTTTCAGAAAGGAAGATTTGCTTCTAGGTGTCTATCTCCATGACCATAAGAGAATTCTAAAAGGACACATTATGTAGGATGTTCACTATTATATAATTGATTTTCTTGAAAGAGTATAAGTGCGGTTTCAAGAGACAATAACATGGTGAAAATTCTTGTCGTGACTTAAATCAATCCACCATCTTACTTATGTGATCAGAATTTTAAATTGAAATGTTTCACTAAATTTTCTCTGTAAATAACAGATATACTAGAAAATGTACATGACTGCATGAGTTAGTTTCACATTATGGACCACCAGAAAATATTCAAGTTTGACACCATAAAGATCACCAATTTAATGTTTTAGGTGACTATAATGGACATATGGACATCAATGCATGTGTTTAGACTCCAATGTAAGGCTAAAAACGAATGCTAAGAGAAAATAGAATTTGATGGTATGAAAATATCTTGGAAGTTGATAATTAATAGAAAAGAAACATTCATGGTGGTTTTAGACTTTAGTTTGATCATAGATAGGTTTAGGTTGATTGCGTCAAATGTTTGTCATGTATTTTCAACAGGATGAATTTTCTTTCTTCTTTTAAGTTGCTACTTTAGGAAATCTTTTAGAGTATTATTGTTTTTATTTTGAGTCCTATTTTAGATGCAGGCCGAATTAGAAGGGTTGAAAAAGAAAAGAAAGCCATTAAGAATCACTTTGGAAGTGTCTTTATCAGTGTGTAGACTTTTGGTAATTGGGATTTATAAGAAAACTATTAAAAGTATCTCAACAGTATATGAATATTATAAGCCTCAATGAAGGCTAATCCTTGATGTAATAGAATTTATTGCATTAAACTTCACAAAGAAATTAATGATAGTTCTTGGTTTATACTTTAATTTCCATAACTTGATATCAAAAAATTATTATATGGGCCTATTATCTACCTTCGAAGCTCTAGAATTGTGATGTATCCTTAATTGCCTAAAATCTCAACAAACCATTTCATGCTATCTGTCCAACAACGGTAGGAAAAGAAACATAAGATGAAAATGTAATATTGCTATCTCATTCACCAACCTGCCAAATTTAATTTGACAAATGCATACTTTAATTTTTTGCATATATATGAGACTTCACCAACTAATCTGTATAATGTGAGGAATATGTAAAATTCCTGAGGTGCTTTACCATGTGTAACATTTGTATCCACAGATATGTGGATAACATCTTCTTGACTTCCAACCCAATCTCCATCCCCCAACCCCAGCCCAAGCCCAAAAGATAAACTTTCTATCATTCTTTTCCCTTTCTCTTCTGCATACATAAAGATTGGACTCTGATGACTAGTGGATTAGTAGGTGGGAGTCTCTAAAATGAAATGAATGTAATTGTGACATCAATCATATTGCTAGTGAGCTTGGGCAAGCCCACAAGCTTATTTTCCATGATTTTCCTACCTAGTGGACAAGTCTGTTGCCTATTTGCTCTTCCTCTAAATTTCTTCTTCCTGCTGAAATACAGTATTCTATGATCCAATACTACAATCTCAACGTATGGACCCCTTACAATCCTAGGTAGGAAAGCGAGTTTGACAATGAGACTAACAACTTGTTACAAGTACTAATACATAGAGTGCAATGAAAAATTTAAAATAATCTTAATACTTTTACAATTCGGAAAATCTAACCTTCATTAGGTATTCAGCTTGATCGTGTCTGATCTTCGGCGAATCTGACTGAATTGGTGAACCTATAGATCCATCAGTTCCAGTGGGCTGGCCCTCTTTGCCATTTAAACTACCCTTGGGCAATGCTCTAAATCTTCGAGGATCCATATCTTCAATGGTGGAAGAGCCACCAAGATTGCCTTGAGCATGTGCCTGTGATAAAAATTGTTGTTGCTGCTGGGGTGACATCAGCTGAAATTGAGCTGGTGTAGATATAAAAGGCTTCTGCACTTGTGGACCTAAATTAGGCCGAAGTTGGTCAAGACCCTGTGCAGTATGTCATTGAAATTAGTCAATGGAAACAGACAACCAAATAAGAGCAATTTCCTGTGATATATCACTCACAGTTAAAGGCCAACCCTTGAGTGGAAGACCACTAACACCTTGGTTCAGTCCTGTAAAGACAAGCAATCATGGGCTTTATTAGAATAAAAGATTCGTGATTTTTGGAACCACTTTTTGCCGATCATATCTGGGATGAAAATAGATGCTACTGCCAAAACCAGGATAACACCCAAGTCACATAGGTCTGGGCATCAGTGACAGTGACCATCAGTTCGTTCAATATTTTTAGAAACAATAATCAATATGTTTGGAAGGGTAAAAAGCAAAATTCCAATTGGAAGCATATCGACCTTTTTTTTTGGAGAGGACACTACAGAAAAAAGTAAAAAATTCACTTTGCTACAATCATGAACCTTAATGCAAAATATCCAGGAAAATATACCATATATATATATATATATATATATATATATATATATATATATATATTTTTTTTTTTTTTTTTTTTTTTTTTTTTTTTTTTTCCCCAAAACCCCCCCCCAATCCCAAAGAATTATAGCAAAAAAAAAAAAAAAGGCCTAGAAAAAAAAGAAAAAAATATTGAAAAAACCTTTTTTTCCCCCCCCCCCCCCCCC